CGAGCAAACGGATCACCTGATGGTAAGTGATTACCGTCGCCCATAGACACCAGAATAATGCACTTACACTGTTTTTTCTATCCTAACGCGTCTATGCTTTCTAAAACCGTGCTCCTAGTTGTAAATACATATAAATATCTTTTTAAAGTTGCTTAGTGCAAACAAACCGGTAGACAATGCAATAAATAAAAAATACATCAGCCGTCAGAATTTATAGCTTAAAGTGAAAACAACTATAAAACATCGAATAATCTCCGCTGTTTAAAAAACTGATAAAACGAAAAATAACATGAATGGTCAATAGACAAAACAGGATTAAAAAAAACTACAGAACAATAATAGAGCAGGCAGTTTTTTTATCTTTTTGTATTCTTCGAGGATAATCGCGTGTAACACTAGACTATATTCGGCCTCACCTCTAACAAATACATTTGAAAGAAAGAAAGAATTTGGTGCATTGTAAGTCGAACTTATGATTGATGATAAAACGCGTTCTTGATTTTTTGTGTGTAAACTTGACATGAGCACCAATATGTTGATATAAAACGTGATGTAAACACAGTGACTGGTACAGCTAAGCGGAAAATAAAGACTGATAAATATTTATTTATAACAAATGACAAACTGTTTATGTTGTGATTGAAGTAAAAAATTCAATAAACTAATTTTTTTGAATAAATTATATGGACATAATAAAAAGTACAATATTAAAAAAATATTATAAAAAGTAATTAAACAACCAATAATTCTTGTATTAATGTATTCTATTAGTTTCAATTTCATAAGTTTCCTCAAAATCAGCACTTTTTCAGTTACAACATTATTATCACTAGCCCACTCAAAGCGAGTCGGGTTTTCGTCACAGCCCACCAAGGTTAGACGGCCGAGTGCGACCATCGTCGGTTTACTAACTTCGTAGTGCGGGTTCGAATCCGTGCATGGTTCCACAGACGGTGTGCTTTATAGTCACGGTCTTCTAAGAACATGCTATAGAAATATTTGTGTTCCCATTTCTGATTGTGGTCTCTTGTGGATTACTATCTAAGTGGAATGTGAATTACATTTATTATTTTATTTACACAGAATCCATTATTACCTACGAAGCTAGGTGATTTTAGACTGATGCGATTTTCTGCAAAAACACTACAGGATTTTGAAATACTCGTAGGTACTAAATAAACTTACAAAAAAGCTACTGCATTTTTATAAAATACTGTAGGTACCTACCCACTTGAATATTTATTAAATACATTACTTATTTCCTGTATTAAAATTCTAGTAACTTCTTTTTTTTTCGTTTTTATGTTTTTAGAAAAATATTTGAAAGGAAAATAATATGTTATGGTCTTTTATAGAAAAAGTTACGCTTTTTAAAATAACCGACTTAAAAATAGTCGCATTGATTTTTCCATGGTCCTGTCGCGTCGTATTACGTTGTAATACCGGCAATGGTAATCAGCCCTGTAATATGGTAATACGTTCTCGTGGGCCGACGCGCGCGCAGCCAGCCGCGCCCCCAGCGTCTTAGGGTTACTACACACTTAAGCGGGCCGACATTAATCTGCACAACCTGGCGTTAAAATGTAATAAAATTAAATTTAGTATTCGTGATAATTATTAACTCATTCCCGAAAAATTGCTAGAGCACTTTAGCACGTTTGTATACTAGACTAGAGCATCGATATTTAGATGAATATTCGGGAAAAAAGCCATATTGCTAGCCACTGAAGCCGAAAAAATGAAACAATTTCATTGGTTTAACACATTGCCTTAATGGCCGAACCAATAATGCCAGCTCGCTTGGTGTGTAGCAACCCTTACAGACGACAATTATAAATAAAAAGATATGGTGCAAATTAACTGTTGCAATAGAACAAAAAACAATTTTGTAATCATTTTTACATTGTGTGTGCTCTTTTAATGCTTTTTTAGCTGCAAGCTTGCTTATGAATTTTTTCGTGTTTTGCTCTATTTATAAGCTCGAGAGCATGTTTATTATAACTTTAAAAAAAAAATAAAACCGACTTCCACCCTTGGGGGTGAAATATTTTCTTCAAATTCGCATGAAACCACCCTTTTGATAATACCTATTCAACAAAAAAATAATCAGTCAAATTGATTATAATCGGCGGAGATATTGCGTATAAAAAAGTTCATCCCCAATTTTCCACCCTTGGGGGTTGTTTTTTCTATTATTAAATTTAAATGGGACCACCCTTGAGGTATTACCTATACGCCGAAAAAAGATTTGTTCAAATCGGTTCATAATTGGCGGAGTTATCGCGTAACAAACATAGAAAAAAAAAACATACGGGTCGAATTGAGAACCTCCTCCTTTTTTGAAGTCGGTTGAAAAGCAGTTTATGTGCATGCTTAGTATCAATAAAAGCTTACTGTCAAAATATTGGGTTTAGGAAAAAAGGAAAAAAGTTGATTATGTAAAATTGTCTTCTACTTTACCAATATCTAATCCGGTCTCTTGCCATTTATTTTTATCAATATTAAAAAATACTCTCCCAAAATTCATCATTACTCTATTTGACCTCCAACTTTTATTTTTGGTGATTTTTATCAAAGTAAAAATAAAAAAACATCATCTCAGCCATAGGACGGCCACTGCTGAACATAGGCCTCCCCCAATGCTTTCCATGTTGCCGGTTGGTAGCGGCATGCGTCCAGCGCCTTCCTGCTACCTTTATTCCTATGACTGAGATGATAATGATGATGAAAAAAAAACAAAAAATAATTTCCTCTGTCCACTCTATCGATTCCTAACTCGCCGGCCGGCAGGCGTTAGGCGTCTGGAATTTTAATCGCATCCCAACCCCAGCTCGGGCGAAACCAATAAAAAGACGGCTTGGATTTCGGAGGCGGCTGTCTAATGCCTTTGTTTTAGTGTACGACTCTACCTTTTCGGAGTACCTGTCTAGTAGTTTAAATGGTCGGTGGAATGCGGAGCTAGATGATTTTGTTTGGGAGGTGGAAGGTATAATGCAATTTAGGATAAGTTGTAGTAGTAGAATGTGTTGAAAATAATCAAGACAATGAAGTCTTAAGTGTAGAAGATCGTAAACAGATTTACAATGTTACTAATAAACTTTTACACAGTTTTAGTGCATTTTAGCAATGATACAATTGTGTTGTGAACAAGTATTTCAGTAAAGTTTTAATATAGTTCAATGATCACAACTTCACAACAAAGTCGATATGAAATAATAATATCGTAAACAGTAATCTTAAAATTTTAGATTCCTTTGAAGCAACCATACAATCTGAAAACGAGCACAATAAAGCAAAACGCTGTACTAATACGCAAGATTCGATCATAAAACGTGAAACTTATAAATTTTTAAAGCGTGAAAGAAAAATCCAAAGCCCCAACCGTTTGTAGATAGGCAACGAGAAGTAAAAGACACGATGTTAGTACCACTCGAGCGACAGAGACAGAAACACACGAAATGCTAAGCGAGACAGGGACGGAAGAACATGGAACCGGTCTAAGGGAAGCAGATGCTGCCGAGAAACCCCCCGGGTAAAAGATTCCAACAATAAGAAAATAATCATTAAAACATTTCCAGTTAAACATTTATCCGGGTTTCGCATGGGAAATAAAATTGCCTACTGCTTACAAAGTTAAAGTAATTAATGAAATAATTAATTCCATGCTGGAAAATAAGTTAATAATGTCCGTAATAACCGTACATGAAACGGGTTGTTTCAAGACAAAGCTCGATTTGCCTAAGTTTCTAGTTTTAATTCATCGCTATCAAACGTATTACTTAAGTCGTATACCTACGTTCATTTTAACCGCAAATGTAAAAGTAGAAGTGCTAGTAGATACGTTATTTTCGTCATTACCTGAATTTCAGGGGATTTGTTTGCAAAAAACACATGGCTTTGAACGGAGGAATGTGGCAGCTAGCCAAGCGCTGCTTACACCATTAACTGGTAAACATACTTTTGTGAATAAACTTCTACCTATTTGGAGATTTTCTATGAAAGTTTGCTTTACATTTGTTTATCAGAAGCATTTAGATAATTCTATATATACTATATATTTTTGGAGCTATCCAAGGAATGGTTTTAAACCCATTGCTCTTTATTCATGTGTGTTAAGAGCTTTTCTATAAAACAAACATGCATAATTTAGAATGCAGACTCTTTTTTCTTGTTTATTCCTACATGGCGTATTTAATTAGGTGGCTGTCCTTTTTTTCAAGGTTACCTTAGAAATTTAAATTATACTTCCAAAGAGTACCTTTTGAATATCTTTTTCATTCAAATTCAATAGGATTAGCAACCGAATATGGTCTGAAAGTAGTAGTATTATGCATTCTCTCTTTCTTCGTCTCTCTTTTTTAAAATTAGTTCATTACTTTTCCCCCATATCAAGCTGCGTCTTCTTAGCATAACAGCACATGGTTGTCAACGTGCGTTCGACGTTTATCTATGAATATAATCAACACGAGTCCACACATGTGTGGCTTAGGAATTATGCGGTTAGTTAGCTAGAAAAAATGCAAGCTATTCCTCCAGAGGCCGCTCGCGTGAGAATAGGCTATACGCAGACTGGTATACTCGACTAATTACTTCTTACACGTTACGTGCCAAGCGTTTTCATGTTCTTTGATAATTGAAATCGGTGCTGGTCGATTTGTGGGTTTAGATTAGTTGCAATGTAAGTTGGGCTTAAGGAGCTGCGCCGGGACGGGATTGCAAATGCGTGTAAAGGAATTCCGGAACAAAAATGCACGTCTACCTGCGCAGCCGCCAGATGCGCCGTCCCCCGCGGCGCCCGCGCTCCTCCATTAAACCGCGTAAATTGATTACGTGGAAAATCTGAGAAAATCGCACGCTAACTACAGCGGCTCGTGACCATATGAAATTGCCGAGGACATTCCGCCGCCTCGCCGCCTTCTGATGTTACCGCGATTACAACTGTTTACCTAATCAAGCATCTGCAAATAAACTTTTTATTTTTATATCATCGGCCAAAGAATGCGGAGATTCGGTGAATGATTCGCGTGCAGAGGACACGGGACGAGGTCATCGGGGTCCGTTACGGCGTCGCCCCGGCCGACACCTCGGCGGGCGCGTTCGATTCGACGAACTTATTACGACAGATGGCCGGGCCGGGAGGCGGGAGCGGGCGCGGACCCCGGCCCTTCGGAGAGATCGACCTCCGAAATGCGCCCGAGATTGCATTCTTTCGGCGGTGCGGGCGCATTCCACCGCGCGCCATCCGAGCTCCGCGCGCCCGCGCCAGTCGACGCGCGCCCTTTTGGGGGTTAAGATGTGTCCGCTGCGGCGGGCGGTAACGATGTGGTCCCAGCCGCCTCCCCCCGGGCCGAGCGACCCGCCGGCGTTCCGCGCGCGCGCAGCCTCCGCCGGCGCTCACACCTGGTGCCGCGGCTGCCTCGAGCCTCGCCAACTCGCCCGCATGGTCCGCGAGCCACCCGAGTACGGCGTCCGAGTCGACAACACCTCCGCCCGCCCTCCCGGTCTCCAAGTCCGCGATGAGCCTCAGTACCAAAACCTGGACGAGCTCCGCAAACGACCCGAGTACGCCAACCTGGACGAAATCAGCCGCGAGTTCGGGTACCGCCTCTGCCCCGAAGGACAGAACCTGGAAGACGAGGCCATATACGAGAACATTTTATCAGTGCGTCAAATACGTTCCGCGGAAGTGCGTCTAGTGCCGGTGTCTGAAGTGGCGTACTACGAAGGCCAAGGTTACGTGGCCACGCAGGTCCTCAGCCGCAACGGCACCTTCCCCCAGTGCCCGCCTCACACCTGGAGCCGGCTGCAGCACGCCTGCAAGCTCACGGGATCCCTCCGAATGTTCACTGTAAATATCTTTCAATACTCCAACTTAAGGATCGGATCGAAACCTGTTGTACATCGCTTTTTCGGCGGAATGTATATTAAAATATTTCTTACAGAACAGGATATGAGCGTATGAAATGATGTACGAGTACATACTCGCTTTTTATGCGCATTCCGAGCAAAAAGCTGTTGCCCAATGTAATACTGTATTTATGTCCCTCACAAAAAATACGGATCGGAATTTTGCTCTAATGACTCGTTAATTTTTGAAGTTGCCCGATGAATTTCGTATACACATGTGAAATACGGTGCTGTGTTACGGTGAGCCTCTAAACGCGGGTACGCTTTGGATTAGATTTAGTTTAACTTATTTGTTCTTAACCCTAATTTTCGGTTGGTGAAATTTAGAAGTCAATGTTACATTTAGCAGATTCGCATTGGCTTCTGCAATATTTGTTTTCTATAGGATATGCTATATTATAACTGTTTCTTATAACACTTCAATTAGGACTATTACATATTTCTTGTAATGTCTTGAGGCGAAATTATTTAATTGAATGAAGCAATTACTAATTTTGTTATTTTCGTGCGTCAAGCTTTTGTCTATTAAATTACTCCGTCAGTATCTTCAATGTTTTTTCCACTACGAGTATAACGCAGACCTATCTCATTTCAAATTACATGTTATTACATTTCAAAGCTATATTTAGGTTGCCATTTATATAAAGATTTATTACAATATCTATACATTCTAGATGAGCTCGTCGTGCAATATCTTACGCAATTAAATTATTTAATTGATCTTTCGGAGCTTGTGTAATCTGGATACGAACAACATACTGATTGTGGTGGCAAAAATGATTACAAAGTTGTTAAATACCTACATATTTTCAGGAATAAAAATTCACCTGAAAATATTACATGAATTATTATATAATATATCATAAATATAATTAATCATAAATTACTATTTTAACTCAAAAATAAATCTAATTTTCTTCCTTATTAACATATAACTAAACGGGGTTCGAATAAAAAACTATGCTCATACTGTTGGATTCTATACGTTACCCATTCCGTACTCTACATTTTATGAAATTATAAAAATGTCTTACCAATAATCCAGATTAGGTATGAAGTTATTTTGCGATGTCTCCTTAACTATTGAATGCAATGCAACATGCTACTAACCTTATGTAGCTATTCCAGTAAAGTTGTATTAATACAGCTAAAACTTATTACATCATTATAAATCACAGGTAGAGTCATAATGATCGAAGTACCTACCTAAAATATTAAATTTATGCTGCGTCTAAACTTTTACTAAAAAAAAGTTTAATAATTACTATTGTCCTTCAAACTGTTAAATTAATATTTGTCTCATCTTGTTCGCAGGCGAAGAAGGAGATGTACGATGTGAAGAAACAGAGGCTGTGTTTGGCTCAAGACGAGTACAAGCATCTCAACAACGCTCTGTCAACTCTAGCTACCTCCAGAACCAGTTGTAAGTACCTCTACATTACTAGTACTGTCCATAGGACATCCTAATAATAAGTACCTACATAGTAATGGTCCGTCCCATATTTTTAATTGCCTTGTAGTTCCTGATGTTGGCAACTGATATGAAGAGCAACCTTTTTTTATTTGTCTATGTTTTCATACTTTTTTATACCTTTAGTTTTTAGTTAAGTTTATTATTGCGTTTTTTGTCAGAGCATTTTTGGGCCAAATAATGTTCCTTAATTTTGAGAAAGACTGATTTCCGCGCTGACCCGCTCTAGCAGCTGTCCTTTACACTAAATGTTACCTCAAATTTTTGAGCGCTCTTACAATTGACAATTGATCCAAAAATGACTATAGATAAGCCATGGAAAATTTTGGAATGCGGCTGGAGTTATAATAATTTCATTATCCAACGCAAATACAGAATCCAGACTAACCTGATATGTCTTTATAAAAGAACGTAAGGAACCAGTCCTTACACGACTCGCCTGGATTGCTTGCGAACTGTAATCAGTACAAAAGCATATATTCGCTTGAAAATAGCCCGATGAGGAGTGAATAAATTGTAAATAACCTGCGAATCATTCGTAAGTCTAGGGTAGGTGACCATTTTATTGGGAGAGTTAGTGCAAAAGAAAATGCACCGTAATAGAAGCGAATACGGTCCTGTAATATAGAGCATAAAGTGGCGAAGTTTAAAAGTACGTGTACACCAAGTCTACCATAAATACGAGTACTATGCTAATACTGGCTTGCAAAAAAGAATAGATCATTTAATTTATAATGAGATATTTTTTAGAAATACATAAATACATTATTTATTTAGATCAATTTTGTGGCACCTTATAAGAGAGTGTAACAGCACTTTAAATAGATTTTAGCGTTTTTATTTTCATTCTCGTGGTTCAATGTAAATAATCATTTGCATATTTTTTAAATACACATTCTTCGAATGCTCGCATCTGTGGAACTTGCTCATTCTCCATTATTATGATAATATCTTGCTCTGGCGTAAAATTGCAGACATTATTAAATTATGTATTTTTATCATTACTAAGTAACTATGCTTAAACTTTGTATGAACACATGGTTGAAATTAGTTTTACAAATAACATCTTTTAATGGCCAGAGTATAAGTATGTAATTAAATTTATTTGGTAGATTTTACACGCTGTTGTTTTGTAAAAATTTGTATACTGTTCAAATCGACTCGTTTAGGCTTGCTAGCTACCGACATAGTCCAATGAGGGCTATGGTTTTTATACATAACAGTTGGCACCACTGGAAATTGAAATGACCCTACTCTACAGTCGCGCCATCCTGCTGGGTGCAAATGCCATCTTGGATGCGATAGTCCTACCGCTTCAGCAGTGCTCACCGCCTATGTGTTTGCCACTAGCAAGTGACAGTTATACCATACTGTACAGTGACGCCAAAGTACCTATACCTACTGTTTATTTGCCGCAGTGTGTTCATCCACCACGTCAATGACGACAACGTCAACGACGTCACGACACGACCCCGAGCTTCTCCGGTCCGAAGTGACTCAGGCGCGGGGTCGCGTCGCCCAACTGCGCAAGGAGTTGCGCCAAGCGAGAGCTGAGGTGGCCAGCGCTCGGAGAGGCGTCGACACGCTTGCTGAGTGAGTATATACCTTAAGCTGTTCAGGATATAGGTCAATATTGTACGCCTAAAGTGAAGCAAGCAGGTGTAGCCCAGCTACATTTGCGTTTGGTGGTGTCTACCTTCAGGGTGTAACTTTAAAAGTCAAAATCGTTAGTTTCATCCAAATAAGTGTGCTACTATATCCAAATCGATGCAGGCAAGTCAGATCCAGATTCCGCCTAGTACGGGAAGAGCTGATAGCTTAATTGTGAAGTTAGATAAGTTATAGATTCGCTTGCAGAATGTTCTTTAGTATTGCATGCTTTTAAAGACTCGCCATAACAGTACTTTCAGTTTGAAAATAATTGAACACATTCCTAGAAAGCTATCTTGTTGCCATACATAGAAATGAGAGATGTGCATAACTTTGAAACAACATTTCTAAGATATGTAGTATCGAAATGATAATTGTAATAGATCGATTTGATATTCCACACCACTATGGGTATTGCTTACGATAATAACAACACCAATCAACATCACTCTTTGTAGATCCTTCCCTTTTCTGAACATTAGAAATTGGTCTATGCTCCATTTATAGCGGTATCTAATTGAGAATTTATTTCCTATTTCAGAGTGGAACAAAAACTAAATTCCCAACAAGGCTGCTATAATATCACCGAGGCTCAGGCTATCATGACTGAGCTGAAGAATATACAGAAGTCATTGACGTCTGGGGAGAAAGAACGGGCTGATCTTATGCAGTCGTTAGCGAAACTAAAGGATGATTTGACGAGACTCCAATTAGGAGACGCGTCTCCAGATCTGTCAACGCTAAGTCTGCCCCAAGAAAAGTTGAGCACCGCCTCTCAAACGGACCTTTGCGCTGATCTAGTTCCGATCGGTACGAGATTAGCAGAAATGGCGAGAGTCCGGTTGCAGTACGATGAAGCTAGGAAACGAATACAGCAGATCCAGCAACAATTAGCAGACCTTGAAGACAAAGTGCAACCTGGTCAAGCGGAGTCTGATAAAGACCGTCTGCTGCTGTTCCAAGAGAAGGAGCAGTTGTTAAGAGAACTGAGGAGTATAACCCCGAGGACGAGGTCGAAGCAAGAGATGAGCGATATCCAATCGGAGTGCAAAAGGCTAGAGCAAGATTTGAAGAATGCGTTTGAGATGTCCAATAAGTGTATAGCGGATAGACTAAGGCTTCATGAAGAGAAGCAGTTACTGCTGCAGCAATTGAAAGACGCTTTGACGTCTATGACGACGTTGGAAGGGCAGTTGAAGACGTTGTCAGCTAGTACTCTGTCAGTGTCGAGTAGTTCCAGCTTAGGATCCTTGTCGACTGCGAGCAGTAAAGGATCTTTGAGTTCTGGCATTAGTTTCACGGATATTTACGGCGGGCCGCAGATTGCGAGCTCGTTTCAAGCAGACAAACCTATTGATATGGTGGATCTACATCGAAGAGTGGAAAGGTGAGGTGTTTTCTTTAAATCTCAACTATTTTTATGAGTGCCTGTATGTAGACGATTTGCTTAGTTACATGTATTTTAAATGTTTGTAAATCAACTTTAAATCTAAATTGCAGGCTACTGCGAGGTACCAGCTACAACGCTGATAGCGTAACGCCTGGAGCAAGCAGTTCACCTTCCCAACCTTCGTTATCGCCGAGAAGTAGTCTGTCTTCTGCCAGTCCACCACCACCCCCACCTTCTTATAATCAGGTAAGATTCGTTTTTTGGAAACCATTATTATTTTCTATTTTAGGCTCTACAGTTATTTATATTAGGTCCACTTTATAACCACTCGTATTTTATTCGAATTGATTCTGGGTTTCGCAAGGAGCGTTACTAAGCCCATGATTTCAAAGTGTAAAATCAAAAACACAAATAAATTTTCTTCTTTTATCTTTATACCGACTAAAGCCTTGGGATGGGAATCAAACCCAGAATTTCCAAATCAAAAGTAACTCAAAAGTCAAGAGATTATGACCTATCTAAACACTAGACCATGGGGCACTCAAGTGCATAATCATTTCAAAATCCATCGACTGTTTTTTAACCAGTTGTAATATGAGATTGACAGAATATGTGTCAGATTAACGCTAAAGCGTTTGACATTAACGCATTGCTGTTCCGATCTGTCAGAGATAAAAGATTTCACTTTTACTAAATCTAGAGTCAGAGGTCAGATGGGCGAGGCGATAAAATTAGGAGTATATTGTGCGTTTTGTACGCGGGCCTCTTCGATTGTTTGTTCGAGTAAATATCTCGAAATATTTGGGTTACACCTTTGAGCCTAGTAGACAAAGAGGATTGTTAAATGATCAATCATTGTGTGTTTTCTTGACGTTTTTGTAGTGTACATCAGAGGAGAGTGGCAAATAGTGGATTTTATGCTACAGTGGAAAACGTTATAGCTTTTTGTTTATGGCACATTATAGCGACTTTGTTTTTCTATCGTCTCTCCATGTCTCCTTACGATCCCCACACTTCCCTATGGCATTTATTTGGTTATTAAATAGATTTGCGGATGTATAAACAATAAATACTCTACGCAATGGTTGCTGTGCAAATCCTTGGGGGAGTCCTTTGTCCAGCAGTGGACGTCATTTGGCTGAAACGACGAAATCTGCAAAGATAAATGAGACCTTGATGATTTTTGTTTTGTTTCACTAGGAAATAGATAATTTAAATTTCTTTTTTTTTCACAGGTGGAAAGGCAAAGACGACAGCAAAGAGAGCTTGAAGAGAAGTTAGCAGAGATGAGGATAGGTGTCGCCACGGGCATCAACGAGGTCACTGGACTTGCTACAAGTGAGTTTGTTGTAAACATAATCTTATGTAGTTGTATTAGATGATATTTTACACTAAAAATTAAAGTAGCAAAAAGGATTAAAGTAGCAACATTCTTTTGGCACCCACTAAAACTGGTATTAGATATTTATGTTTATGTTTTCAATCGTGTTATGCAATAATTCTTAATGGTGGGTAATAGCTGATATGCATAGGTATACACGAGTATTTTAAAATCGATGGGAGATTGTCTTGTAATTTTTTATTTACGCCCATCGAACTGCTTATCTTCTTGTTTAAAATAGTAACTACTACTCTTAGCTATTGCTAGATATACTATAGGAATAAGACCCTCTCTAATTACCAGAGACAATGGAAGATTTGGCATCAATCCACTATTAGCATACATTATGATTAAAACACTGTAGAGTGAAAAAGAAAAATGACATTGAAGCAAAACTTAAACAGTGGTATAAAATGGTTCAAACGACTCTGAGAAAAGAATTGTATGGCCGCGTCTTTGCTCTTTTGTAGGGGGCTTTCGTGTCCCTCGATATAGATCGTTTCATCCACGAAGACGCGCCCTACCGATTTTTAGTCGAGGGAAGCGCTGGGTGCGGGGAGTTTGATCCGAGCAATCCGAGCTTCATTAGGGGTCATCCATAAAGTACGTCACACGTAAAGAGGGGGAGAGGGGGTCGACAAAGTGTGACATGGTGTGACAAGGGGTGGGAGGGGTCCTAAGTTTCGTCCATCACAATTCAAAATCTAATATATCTAGAGGTACTAATCGCGTAATTTGAAATATAAATTAAACTAAAAAATACCCCCCACCACTTAAGCACAACTCCGTCGAAGTCGAAAACCTTGGAGTCTTAATGGGCAACCAATGAAGCCATTAAATCAATAAACTCTTTTGTAGGAATTATTTCAGATTTAAAATCTAATTCTACTGGTCTATAATGCAGCCAAACGCACCGTACCTCGCGCGTGATTTTATTGTTTCTATTTGTTGCTATTTTTTTGTTAATTTAATAATTTTTCGATGTGAAATTGCAAAACATGTGACGTCACACTAGGGAGGGGGGGGGTCTCAGAAATGTGACCACCTGTGACAAGGACGGGGGAGGGGTAAAAAAATCATGAAATTCGTGTGATGTACTTTATGGATGGCCCCTTATTGTAGTGTGGTGTGCACTCATGGATGATTAAGCGTGTACCGATAACACTCAAACATCAGCGGTAGTAGAAGGGCGCGTCTTCGTGGATGAAACGATCTATAAACATGCTATTTGACTAATAATGCCTTTTTCCTTAGTTCCAGTCCAACTGCAAGGCCCGGGGCGGCCCAGCGAGCCGTTGTCCCCCATTTCAGAGACACCCCCACCACCGCTCTCGCCAAGAACTCCCTCATCTAGTGGTAAGTATCTTTTATATCAAGCTTGATGGACTAATTAAGTCCACAGACACATGCCTTAGGTCGCAAGGAAATCAGAATACCAGGGATCTAACGAAATCCCTGAGGGTACCAGCCGGGCTAGTATGCGCACCGTGATAAAATCTTACCGATGATTGGAGATGACAAATGTTTAGGCTTAATCTCGTAAAATCGAGGAAATGGGGTGCGATAAAAGTTTATCGTGAAGCGTATCCTAGGCCTACAGGATATTATTTATTGTGTTGAAATGTTTAATTTCAGCTAAAAGCTTCTTTTTATTAAATCCTCTTCAGAGGACCAAATGAATTAGTCCACTTCACAGAGGACTCCATAAAGCTTACATTACTAAAAACCAAAGCACACAACACATCGTGTGCTTTAGCTCATATTATTGTGTATTATTTGCAATAGTCAAATCTTTTTTTACTTCTTATTGTGATATTTGTCACCAGGTACAAATACTAGATCAGTTTCGGCGGCAGTGAGCGACGAGTCGGTGGCGGGAGACTCCGGCGTGTTTGAAGCGGCGCAGGCGCAGAACGATCCCTCCAACGCCGGTAAATATAACCCTTATTCAGTTGTGATAGGTGCGATTTTACAACCACAAAGTGATACAGCCTTTGTCGATGTTTTTGTTTTTGTCTGTCAATTATTTTGTGGGAGGTGCGTAGTCTGAGTAATGTAACTACAGAGAACTAAACTAAATTTGAAAATTACAGAGATTTCCTAGATTAACCTGATATTAGTTGCATTAAAATAAAAGACGAAAGGCCAAAATAAGTAATGGTTTGAAGACCAAGAAAATATTATTGTATTTTTTTATAAAATTGAAATTTTATTTACATCTAACTTTTTAATCTGTCTCCTTGAGGGACCTTCATCCACCTTCGAAACTTAGGGATCGATCTCAGAATTTATTAGCTCCGCTGTATTTTCTTTCTGATTTTGGTACCCACTATAATATTTATGTATTTAGTAATTATAATATAAATTTTAATAATTTTCTTGTATTGTTACAGTGAACAGTGCGCAAATTGAGATCAAATTGCGGTACTGTCCAGACGAGGGCGCGCTTGAGATCGGGATTCTGCGCGCGCGCAACTTACACGCGCTCTTCATCGATGTTGGGACGGAAGTGTGAGTTCATTTTTATACTTATTATTACTTAAACGGGTGCAGCAGGTGTAAAAACCTATTATGAAGCCAATTTTACTGCTTATTCTTCAATATCCACCATTCCACATCTTGATGATAATTTCTTTTGGCGCTCACACAGCGACCGGTGTAATCCCTACCTATTCAGGCGGCTCGTACAGTCACACCTAAGAAAAGTTGCTTTTGTAAAAAAAAATATTACAAAAAGCACATTGCTGCCCCGTGAAGCGCTCCATCGTGACTAAAATTGCATAGTTTAACGCCATCCACGTGCCCTTTCCTACAATAGTTTTCGAGAAATCGAGGGTTGCTATTTGCAAAAATGTTTGGCCCATACTATTAACGATTGGATGTGCTTAGTTTCCGGCTTAGTAGGTAAAGTAGTCAGTAAAAGTAAAAATGTTATATTCTTCTTACTTTTTTTTATAAATTAAAACTCCAAGTCTCTTGAAACATTACGCTCAACCTGTATGTACTTATAACTCCTTTTCTTTTTAGAGCGGTCCGAGGAGCCCTAGTGATAGGCGGGGGCTGCGGCATCGCGTTCGGTAGCACGTCTCTGGCGTGGCGTGGCGCGACTCTGGCGTGGCGTCACATACAGCGGGCGACTGTTGCGGGCGCGAGAGCTTTACGGGCTGCCACGTTGCAGGTCAACCTTACTAGCGGGACTGAGTGCTTGGTAAGTTGTAGACTTTATGACAAAATGTTTATGGTCTGATGTGGCGTGGCGCGAATCTGGCGTGGCGTCACATACAGCGTGCGACTGTTGCGGGCGCGAGAGCGTTGCAAGCTGCCACGTTGCAGGTCAACCTTACTAGTGGGACTGAGTGCTTGGTAAGTTGTAGACCTTATGACAATGTTTACGGTCTGATGTGGGGTGGCGTGACTCTGGCGTGGCGCGACTCTGGCGTGGCGACACATACAGCGGGCGACTGTTGCGGGTGTGAGAGCTTTGCGGGCTGCCACGTTGCAGGTCAACCTTACTAGTGGGACTGAGTGCTTGGTAAGTCGACCTTATTGTGTAGTATTTATGGTTTGATGTGGCGTGACGTGACTCTAGCGTGGGGTCACATACAGCGGGCGACTGTTGTGGGCGCGAGAGCGTTGCGGGCTGCCACGTTGCAAGTTAACCTTACTAGCGAGACTGAGTGCTTGGTAAGTCGACCTTATGACAATTTATGTTTACGGTCTGATGTGGCGTGGCGTGACTCTGGCGTGGCGTCACATACAGCGGGCGACTGTTGCGGGCGCGAGAGCGTTGCGGGCTGCCACGTTGCAAGTTAACCTTACTAGCGAGACTGAGTGCTTGGTAAGTCGACCTTATGACAATTTATGTTTACGGTGTGATGTGGCGTGGCGTGACTCTGGCGTGGCGTCGCATACCGCGGGCGACTGTTGCGGGCGCGAGAGCGTTGCGGGCTGCCACGTTGCAGGTCAACCTCACTAGCGGGACTGAGTGCTTGGTAAGTTTTAGACCTTATGANACCTTACTAGCGAGACTGAGTGCTTGGTAAGTCGACCTTATGACAATTTATGTTTACGGTCTGATGTGGCGTGGCGTGACTCTGGCGTGGCGTCACATACAGCGGGCGACTGTTGCGGGCGCGAGAGCGTTGCGGGCTGCCACGTTGCAGGTCAACCTCACTAGCGGGACTGAGTGCTTGGTAAGTTTTAGACCTTATGACAATTGTGTAGTATTTATGGTCTGATGTGGCGTGGCGTCACATACAGCGGGCGACTGTTGCGGGCGCGAGAGCGTTGCGGGCTGCCACGTTACAGGTCAACCTTACTAGCGGGACTGAGTGCTTGGTAAGTTGGTAGACCGTATGACAATATGCTTACGGTCGGATGTGGCGTGGCGTGACTCTGGCGTGGCATCACATACAGCGGGTGACTTTTGCGGGCGCGAGAGCGTTGCGGGCTGCCACGTTGCAGGTCAACCTCACTAGCGGGACTGAGTGCTTGGTGAGTCGACCTTATTATGAAGTATTTATAGTTTGATGTGGCGTGGCGTGACTCTAGCGTGGCGTCACATACAGCGGGCAACTGTGGCATTAGTTGTCATTGCCTATATTGCTCCGTGTCACAAATCTATCTTGTATCAGTGGCGTAACTATAGGACCCGGCAAGGCTGGTAAAATGCCAAGAATCTAATCCGTATGGTCCCGGGGCCCCTTTGGAATGTAGGTAACTATAATAGATACGCCAAGAGCCACATGCACAGAATTTAAAGTTATGCCACTGATACCTTTACATTTTGTATTATGCATTAATTTAAAACAACAACATACATTTCGTGATGATAACTAGCCAAATTCGAGTATTCGGCTTCCAGCCTCGAGTGCCATGTGATAACAACCGGGCGAGAGCGATTCTTTCTGACCCTCCCTTCAACCATTCCAAAACCAACCCTATCACCACAATACTAAGTTCAATCTCCTCCAACAGGGCTGCGCGCAAGTCAGCCTGGCTGACTACGACTCAGAGACAGTTCTGCAGAAGTGGTATAACGTGCTGAGCTTCAGGTGTATGAGGAGGGACGAGAGTTCTGATGAGTCTACCGTCATATCCTCGCAGACTTCCACTCTCACGAGGAATAGAGGTTAGTAACAGTAGTTTTTTTTAACTAATTTCTCTAAAGTCTCTAATCTTGTTTCTCGGACAAAGTTTCATCCCCTTAGAGGGTGAATTTAAAAAAAGCCTTGTTTCTCCATATATCGTTTGGACCCCCTTCATCCCATCTATTAGGGGGTGAATTTCAGCGTAATCCTGTAGTGTTTTGAGCTGTGTGTTGATAGATCAGTCAGTACATTGCAGTAACAATTAATCTATCAAAAACAAAAAACTTATTTTCTTACCTGTTTTTATACCTGTGTCCGTGTTATTTTTACCAGCATTAAAATAAACAAAATGGAGATGATAATTGAAAAAATTCATAGTATCTCAATCATCTGGCTTTTGTTACATGAAGTAGGTATAAAGTGATAGGTAAGTTACTAATAAATAAATTTATTTGTCCAGGTCCAGAGAGTATGATGAGCGCGGAATGCAACGTGGACTGTGGGGACAACTCGGCGTCAGACGACGAGGAGTCCAGGGAACCGCTCAATCAGGTAAGGGGCCATCCATAAAGTACGTCACACGAATTTCATGATTTTTTGACCCCTCCCCCGTCCTTGTCACAGGTGGTCACATTTCTGAAACCCCCCCTCCCTAGTGTGACGTCACATGTTTTGCAATTTCACATCGAAAAATTATTAAATTAACAAAAAAATAGCAACAATAAAATCACGCGCGAGGTACGGTTCATTTGGCGGCATTATAGGCCAGTAGAATTAGATTTTAAATGTGAAATAATTCCTACAAAAGATTTTATTGATTTAATGGCTTCATTGGTTGCCCATTAAAACTCTCCTAGGTTTTCGACTTCGACGGAGTTGTGCTTAAGTGGTGGGGGTATTTTTCAGTTTAATTTATATTTCAAATTACGTGATTAGTACCTCTAGATATATTAGATTTCGAAATGTGATGTCACAAAACTTAGGACCCCTCCCACCCCTTGTCACACCGTGTCACACTTTGTCGACCCCCTCCCCCCCTCTTTACGTGTGACGTACTTTATGGATGACCCCTAAGTTACAACATTATAAGCTAGAACTTATAGGCTAGCGCTTAACTCAGTGAGTGCCTGTGCCTGAGGGTGTTTTTGTGACGGTCAAAGGGCAGCGAGACTTCAGATTTGTATGTCCTCCTCCCTGTCACGTCATAATAATAATTTATGTCATATCACCCCTTCCGTGCCGCTCCCATACTTCATGCACTGACTGAGTTAAGATAAGCGCTTATGTTTAAGTGACACATTTCTACATGTTATGTAGGTACTAGCTTTTTCCCTCGCCTGCTTGGTCCGGGATAGAACTATTTTTGGGTATCGTCGTTTCAGCCAAGGCCAAACGTGGGCAGGCCTCCTACTAGGTAGACCCACGATCTGGTAAAGGTCGCGGGAAGAGCGGGACCGTGCATTGTGGAAAACCTTGGAGGAGGCCTTTGTCCAGCAGTGGACGTCATTTGGTTTTGGGTATCAGTATCATCTAAATCGGTTCGGTGGTTTCTACAAAAATACGTGGATAACGCAGGATCGTTCGTTGTGGAAAACCTTGGGGGAGGCCTTTGTCCAGCAGTTGACGTCATTATTGACTGAAACGAACGTGGATAATAATACTTTGTGGCGAGCTGTTGGTGAGTAGCGACACCACGGGGCCAGTTGTTAATCCGAGTGCTCCCGAGAGTCGGTCAAGACCCTCGTCTTCGGCTTGCCGAAGTGGAATCCGAGAGGGTCTGCAGGACTTTCACCTCTGGCTTGCCTTAACCGGCCGGCCAGAGTGGAGTCGCTAGAGCTATATGCTCCAGGGGTGGAAGTGTTAAAGGGCATAACGCCGCGAATAACTTCGGAGAAAGCGCAGCACACCTCTCTACACCCCTGAGCTGGCAGACGCCAATGTTGCCCCTCAGTCCGGTCTATACGACCCATGACGCCAGGGGGGGCCCATTTAGTCGCTGGCTAGTCACCGCCTGCCATTTTTTCAGTCCGAGACTATGAACCAGGCAGGTGACCCGTAGTCTCCATCCATAGCCCAGTAACCAGTCCCTCCATCCTTCATCCATAACCCTAGTCCGTTCTCCAATAACTGCAATAGCTCCTGTGCACAGGCTGGGGATGGTCTCTGGCTACATCCCATGATATAGTCAGAGACTAGATCCAGCATGTGCACCACTTTCACTTTTGTCGATTATTTTACGCTTAAAACGGCCTCTACGTGTTGGATCTGTATCCCCACGCAAGCCTTATAAAGGACCGGGCCACTTTTGACCCGTGAGCTCCAAAGCGTACAAATAATAATAATAATAAATACACTTTATTGCACACCAAACAAATAACATAACAGAAGAAAAGGAACACACAAGGTACAATTAGGCGGTCTTATCGCTATGAAGCGATCTCTTCCAGACAACCTATGGTGAGGACAGTTACTTGAAACAAATATGAAGGGGAAGGCGGTGTCGACACTAAAGAAATAAATTATAATAAAAGGCATACAATTTAAACCAAAATAATACATATAAATAATACACAAAATATATTAATATATATATATACATATATAAATTATAATATATACTTACATACACATACAATTCTAGATACGAACCAAAGATAGAACTAGATAGCCAGCAGAAAATAGATGGGAATTATAAGAAGCTTAAAGGAATACAGATGTAGGGAAATTAAGGTAGCAGCGTGAGGAAGTGAGACTTGAGTCTTTTCTTAAAAATAGGAAGTGACTTAGATTGCCGAATAGACATCGGCAAGGCGTTCCATAGACGGATAGCTTGAACAGTGAACGATCGCGTATAGGAATGTGAGGTGTGAGAAGGAAAATTAAGATGGAGTTTTTTTGACGACCGCATTTCGTGACCCAGGGCCGACTGCATAAATTGAAAACGCTCCTTCAAGTATGGTGGTGACTTTGGGTTGAAAAGGATAGAGAAAAGAAGGAAATGGATATGAATGAAGGACGTGGATATCCTTTTCTTAGTGGCAACTCTTACCTGATAGTATTACAGAAGTCTATAGCGTTATGATAACACAGGATTCTCGCCTTTACAGATAGTAGAAGAAGACTCATTCGAGGACTACATTCCTGAGGACATAGCACTAGAGGAGGAGTTCCTGCATCCATCCACCGCTGAGAAGGAAACCAACACGGAATGCAACTTCTGTCCCGAAGGCGCTCGGCAGCTGCATAGGCGGTAAGTTACCCTAATTTTAGGATCAGTGTTGCCATATTTATGTTATACCTGAGGATAGTGGTGTTGCCAGATAGATCTGGAATTTTTCCCTGAAAAAGTGGCTAAGGTATAAAGTCAAAGAAGTCATGGGAGAGAGAAAAAATCCCCAGATTATCTAGCTATTCTCATCACTATAGGATATTATTTTATATACAGGGTGTAATTTTATTCTTGATCAAACAAAAAGGCTCCTGCTGATCAAATGCAATAACTGTTGGTCCTGTAGAAAAAGAAGTTGTACCTATTTAAGTAATAATAATATAATCTACCCTTCAAGTATAAAAATTACACCTTGTAAAATTAGGAATGTTCTTATAAAAATATTGGGAAGGTTCTTCTATCGGCGTAGCTGTATATTGCATTGGTGGAGGCTAAATGTTCTTGTATTAATATTGGTGTATTCACTTACTTATTTTTATTTTATTACTCTAAAATGTTTCCAGATTCCATAACTTTTTTCTGAATTTCAAACTTTATTTTGCTTTTTTCCTGCCAGTTGTATTTTTGAAAATCAGATTTAAAATAATTTTGTTCCATCTCTTTCTTTTTAATACCAGCAAATTAAAAGAAACAATTTAATGGAGGTGATTACTCTGTACTGCGGAGTATCTCAACCATCTGGCTTTTATTTCGTCAATTTTCAACTTTTGGTCACTACGTTAAGGTTCAAAATACCTTACCTACTTCTAACACTAAATCTGGAATCATTTAACCCGGTGACGGCCATTAAGGGGTGCTTTCTCTGCCAGATACCTCAAATGCTTGAGGCGCGTCGCAGCAGACGGGCGGCCCGAAGACGTCACCTTAGAGAAATAGACTCCGTCCGTACCGCACATGTATATATTTGTATATAGGTACGTTGGCGTTGTGTCAGAGTGAGCACTGAATGAGCATGTAACTTGAGTTTATTAGGTCTATTCCACTTTGATCACTTGAGGGCGTTTACGTCAAATGCATTCGATATCAACTGCGTTAACAAAGTATATGAAGATTTTAGTTCTTAGGGGCGCTGTACAATCCGTCATACATTTATTGTCACTTTTTTACGCAGTCGATATGGAATGCGTTTGACGTAAACTCACACTACGCCCTCTGGATTTGATCATCCAGGTGATCAAAGTGGACTCCAGGCGACACTTTGGTGTCCTTTGATCACCCATGGATAAGATGATGGGTGATCAAAGTGGGCTTCTTAACCATAGGTGATCAAAGGACACAAAAGTGTCGTTTAGACCGTTTATTAGAAGTTAACACGTCCGGCGCACTAGATACAGATTGTAAGACAATATTTTTAAGTGAATATTACCATTTACATTTTTCTACTGCTAGAATGTAGCAAAATTTACAGAAAGACGAGAAACGAGAAACACATACATATAATCTCAGCTGAATGTACATATCACGGTTCTACTATATTCGAGATTTAATATATGGCGTCGGACGATATCGCACGTGAAATTAAATTTAGATCTTTTTTTGCATGGCATGACTCGTGGCACAATGTGAATGTTACCTTTTTCATACTAACCCATTTTTGCTATTTACTTACAACATATTAGAATCCTATTTTCTTACTTTTTATATACATATTTCGTTTGTATCTTAGTTTTGTAGTGTGTGGATCAAGTTTTTGCGGATTTGAAAGGGTTAAATTGTAATTTATTTGTTTATTTGTACAGGAAAAGCCAACAAGTAAACGCCAATCCCGAAGAGCCTCTAGCTACAATAAAGAGATCTCAAACGTTTTCGCCGCAACCGCAAAGCATCGGCAAAGGACAGTACATTTGCAGGTCAGTATCTACTTATAATACGAGTAGTATTGACAAAGTCATCAAGGTAAATACCACCTTAAGAATTTGTAATAAGCGTTATCTTAAAACACAGATTGATGTGCTGTTGACTCTACGAGAATACTATGGTCAATGTTTTTATGCAGTCTAAGAATAGTACCCACTACCTAAACTCGTCGTAGCAATTTTTTTTGTTGAAAAAAGGCAAAACATAAAACACTTTACAAGGCAATCAATGGCGATTGTTGGCAATAATGACTGATAGTTGCTGTTAGATATAATAAAACAAACAACAGAATTAATTTGTATTGCCATTTTGCTAATTTCGCTGGTAAAAGTTCTAAATTTTCGCATGACCCATTTAATTTTAATAATATTGATTTTAGATCCTCAGAAATGTGCATTTTTAAAGATCACAACGCGAATTTGTTCTGTCCTAAGTAACTATTTCAGGGTATCTAGTCTTCAAAGTAAACTCTACTTAATTAAGGGCTAGGCTTTCAATGATTGTTACGAGTAGATCGATGAGGGCTATCGTTTTTATACTTAACAGTTGGCACCCCTGGCGATTGACAGGACCTTACTCTACAGTGGCGCCATCTTGATGAGTGCAAATGCGATAGTCTTCCTACCACTTTAGCGCTCACCAGTTGGCGCCACTGTCTTCGCTACTAGCAAGTGACAGGACCTTACTCTACAGTGGCGCTAACTGGTGAGCGCTAAAACGATAGCCCTCATTAAATGAAACGTGTCCATTCCGCAGACTAAACCGCTCGGAATCGGACTCGTCGATGGCGCTATACGCACGCCGCACGCTGCAGCCCCCGCCCACTGGCATTCCCTTCGACCGGACGGTGCGCGAGCGACGCTCGCTCAGGTCAGTACTAGAACATTAACGTAACACCTAACCTATTAGGCATTACTTTAATTCTTTTATACTAGGTATACGGGATAAAAGTGATCTCGCTCAATTATTTTTAAAGGTTCGGCCAAAACAGCCGGCGTGCACGATGGCGATGGCGATCAGATTTAAACGCATTGATCGCCATCGCGCACGCTGACTTTTCGCGTTGATTTGGCCGAACCTTAAACTATACAAGATATCGAAAAGCTGGTTACTGATCCTGATAGTGCTTTACGAATTCTAGCAAACTTCAAACGGTACCTACCAATAAATAGATTACAGAATAATCTGGATCTATCCGAAAATTTAATGTTTCCAGCTTCCATACATTTAGTATAGATAGTTTCATCCACGAAGACGCGCCCCACCAAAATGACGCTAGGATTGCTCGGATCAAACTCCCCGCTCCACGCGCTTTCCTCGACCAAAAAGTGATGGGGCGCGTTTTCGTGGATGAAACGATCTATAGTAGTCAACCACTTTTAACTGATATTATTTTTTAGTTATTTAATGAAAACACCATCGTAACGTGAACTTTGTAAACACTACTATAACGTCCAATTTCGCTTGTAGATGGGGCCGCGTCTCAGGCGGCGCGGCGCGTCGCAGCCAGCGCGTGCGCACAGCAAGGACGTCTCTGGACTTGACTTTGGACCTGCGCGCGCAGAACGACCGTCTTAGCGACCTGCGCAACGAGATCAGCCATCTTGCGCTTTTGAAGAAGAGGTAAGAGATTATTGGTGTCTGTTTGATATATTGTGGTGTGATAGCCAGCGCGTGCGCACAGCAAGGACGTCTCTGGACTTGACTTTGGACCTGCGCGCGCAGAACGACCGTCTTAGCGACCTGCGCAACGAGATCAGCCATCTTGCTCTTTTGAAGAAAAGGTAAGGAATTTAATTGGCTTTGTCTAATATATAGCCAGCGCATGCGCACAGCAAAAACTTTTTTGGACCTGGCTTATCGACCTGCGCAACGAGATCAGCCACCTTGCGCTTTTGAAGAAGAGGTAAGGAATTTTATTGGCTTTTGTTTGATATATTGTGGTGTGATAGCCAGCGCGTGCGCACAGCAAAGACTTTTTTGGACCTGGCTTATCGACCTGCGCAACGAGATCAGCCATCTTGCGCTTTTGAAGAAGAGGTAAGGCATTTATTGGCTTTTGTTTGATATATTGTGGCGTGATAGCAAGCGTGTGCGCACAGCAAGGACGTCTCTGGACTTGACTTTGGACCTGCGCGCGCAGAACGACCGCCTTAGCGACCTGCGCAACGAGATCAGCCATCTTGCGCTTTTGAAGAAGAGGTAAGATTGTGTTCTACTTGATGTATTTTAAATTGTCTTTATAGTTTGCGACTACATAGTTCAGAAATGTTTCTATTTAAAACTAACCAAACAAGGTACTGTTATTATTGTGAAAAAAAATCACGTAAAAATTGTCCCTTAGTTGCATTTTACATCATCCTATTCCCAACACCCTCATGGCCTCAATGTGAACATCGGACCTCTCTATTCCTACTGGCTTGTGTGAGGAAAGTAGACCCAATCGAACCGTGAATCGTAAATTAGATAAGGTCGTGCTCTTGCAGTGGCGACTGGATAATAATAATAATAATAAATAAATAAATTCCTTTATTGAAGTTACAAGTTTTATCATTACAGGGTTTGGTACAACTTCTTTTAAGTTTATAAAAACCTGTATTAGAAGTGTACCCTCTTCTCTGTGGTAATAATTACATAAAAAACTTGTGCATAACCAAAGAAATCACTTAATAATACTTGAATGACCTGATGATGATGAAACTAATGCCCATTTTCACCATCAATCCCTAACAAAATTCCTGTTATGTGTTACCATAGGGGTCACTTACAAATTAGGGATTGATGGTGAAAACGGGAATAAGTGTAGCACTTTTAAACATTGTTTTCTTTACACTCAGGTTGGAAGAAGCTTGCGCCCGCAGCGATCCCTCAGTCGCCGCGTGGGCAGCTGAAGACGAGACTCTCCGACGCCTCCTGTCCGGGCCGCCGGAGCCCGGGGACCGCGCCGCGCGCCTGCTGCACCGCACCTGCCGCGAGATCTACCGGCTGCGGCGCTCGCGCCAGGGCGGCAGGAAGCCCGACCTCGTCACCTTCAAGTGAGTACCTTTGGGATTCTTTAAGGACTAGTTCTTTCCTTAGGTCTCTCATCAGACGCCTGCTGGCTGAAACTTTGGAACCAGGCACCTGGTTACTTTCAAGTGAGTGCCATGAGGACTTTTTCTCTCTTTCAGATGCCCCTTATGTCTTGGAGAACCTCGTTTCTATAGATCACCTCTTAGTCTTTCGTTCTTCAAGTGTCTAAGGACTACATCTCCCATCAGTCTTATTTGGCGTCTGCTGTCCGGTCCCATAGAACACGGCACCTGATCACCTTTAAGTGTCTTGGAGGCCTTCGTCTTCTCCCCTCTAGGTCGCTTCAGTCAGTCTTCTCAGACGCTCCGGCGCCTCCTGTCCGGGCCGCCGGAGCCCGGGGACCGCGCCGCGCGCCTGCTACACCGCACCTGCCGCGAGATCTACCGGCTGCGGCGCTCGCGCCAGGGCGGCAGGAAGCCCGACCTCGTCACCTTCAAGTGAGTGTCTTGAGGACTAGTTCTTTCCATAGGTTATCCCTAAGAAGCTGGCTGGCTAGTCCCTTGGAGCCCGCCACCTGGTCGCCTTCAAGCGAGTCTTTTAGGTCTACTTCTCCCTTCAGTCTACCTTCTCCGGCATCTGGTGGTTAGTTCTTCGGAGCTCAGCAACTGGTCACCTTTAGTGTCTTGGAGGCCTTCGTCTTCTCCCCTCTAGGTCGCCTCAGTCAGTCTTCTCAGACGCTCCGGCGCCTCCTGTCCGGGCCGCCGGAGCCCGGGGACCGCGCCGCGCGCCTGCTACACCGCACCTGCCGCGAGATCTACCGGCTGCGGCGCTCGCGCCAGGGCGGCAGGAAGCCTGACCTCGTCACCTTCAAGTGAGTGTCTTCTTCCCTTCAGACAGACACTTCTTTCCTTAGGTCACCCCTGAGTTTGCTTTCTCTGACGTCTGCTGATAGAACCCGGCTCCTGGTCACCTAAACCTAGTGAGTATCTTGGGACTTCTTTGAAGACTACATCTTACCTTATGTCGCCCCTCAAAGCTTGCTGGCCGGTCTCTCGGAGCCTGGTACCTGGTTCCCTTCAAGTGTCTTTGAAGTGTTCGTCTTTTCCCGTTTCGGTTGCTTTTCAGTGTTCTTCTAAGGCGCCAGCCACCCGATTCACTTTCAAGCGAGTGCCTTTGAGGTTCAGTCTCTCTATCTATCTTAAAAGACTCCGTCTTCTTCCCTTAGGTCACCTGTCAATCTATCTTCTCCGGCGTCTACTGGCTAATCCTTTAAGCTCAGTAACTGGTCACCTTCAAGTGTCTTGGAGGGCTTCGTCTTCTCCCCTCTAGGTCGCTTCAGTCAGTCTTCTCAGACGCTCCGGCGCCTCCTGTCCGGGCCGCCGGAGCCCGGGGACCGCGCCGCGCGCCTGCTGCACCGTACCTGCCGCGAGATCTACCGGCTGCGGCGCTCGCGCCAGGGCGGCAGGAAACCTGACCTCGTCACCTTCAAGTGAGTACCTTTGGGATTCTTTAAGGACTAGTTCTTTCCTTAGGTCTCTCATCAGACGCCTGCTGGCTGAAACTTTGGAACCAGGCACCTGGTTACTTTTAAGTGAGTGCCATGAGGACTTTTTCTCTCTTTCAGATGCCCCTTATGTCTTGGAGAACCTCGTTTCTATAGATCACCTCTTAGTCTTTCGTTCTTCAAGTGTCTAAGGACTACTTCTCCCATCAGTCTTATTTGGCGTCTGCTGTCCGGTCCCATAGAACACGGCACCTGATCACCTTTAAGTGTCTTGGAGGCCTTCGTCTTCTCCCCTCTAGGTCGCCTCAGTCAGTCTCCTCAGACGCTCCGGCGCCTCCTGTCCGGGCCGCCGGAGCCCGGGGACCGCGCCGCGCGCCTGCTGCACCGCACCTGCCGCGAGATCTACCGGCTGCGGCGCTCGCGCCAGGGCGGCAGGAAGCCCGACCTCGTCACCTTCAAGTGAGTATCTTAAGGACTAGTTCTTTCCTTAGGTTATCCCTAAGAAGCTGGCTGGCTAGTCCCTTGGAGCCCGGCACCTGGTCGCCTTCAAGCGAGTCTTTTAGGTCTACTTCTCCCCTCTTTCTATCTTCTCCGTCGTCTGCTGGTTAGTCCCTTGGAGCTCAGTAACTGGTCACCTTTAGTGTCTTGGAGGCCTTCGTCTTCTCCCCTTTAGGTCGCTTCAGTCAGTCTTCTCAGACGCTCCGGCGCCTCCTGTCCGGGCCGCCGGAGCCCGGGGACCGCGCCGCGCGCCTGCTGCACCGCACCTGCCGCGAGATCTACCGGCTGCGGCGCTCGCGCCAGGGCGGGAGGAAACCTGACCTCGTCACCTTCAAGTGAGTGTCCCTCAGTCTCTTCTCAGACGCTGCTGGCCAAAACCCTGGACCTGGTCACACAGGAAGCCTCCGTCTTCTCCCCATCAGGTCGCCTCTCAGTTTATCTTTTCAGACGCTTGTGGGTCCACTCTTCTAAGCCCAACCTCGTCACCATCAAGTGAGTGTCTTTGAGGCCGAGTTCTTTCCTTAGGTCACCCCTAAGAAGCTGGCGGGCTAGTCTCTTGGAGTCCAGCATCTGGTAATACATGGTTCTTGAGGCTTTTGTCTTCTCGCCATTAGGTCGCTTCAGTCTTTTCTAAAATAATTTCTGCCTAGTTACATGGAAGCCTCCTTGGTCACCTTTAAGTGCGTACTTCACGACTTTCGTCTTCTCTTCTTTGAGTGTCCCAGAATCTATTTAATGTTTGCCAAAAAACTTCGGGCTTTCAGTTAATCTTTAAGTTTTTTTAAAGACTACGTAGACAGACATGACTAACAAATGTATTTTACTTTCAGAGAAAAGATGGCGTTCTTCACTCGCACCAAATCCACCATCCCCATTCTGCCCGGCGAAGGGGAGAACGTGTCCGAAGACGAATGGGACGATGAGCTGGAAGAAAGAAGAACGCCCGATGGCCGCTCTTCCAAAACCTTCTATGAGCTGCGCAGGGATCGAGACGTCAAGAGCTCCGAACCAACCCCTCAGAACAACGAGGAAGCACCAGTTGCCGAGTGTAACAACGTTGCCGAGTGTAACAATGTTGCCGAGTGTAACACCGTTGCCGAGTGTAACACAGTTGCGGAGTGTAACACAGTCGTCGAGTGCAAGAACCCTTGCCTCAATGAGCCGTGCTACGAAAACCTACCCGCGAAAATGGAAGCCGCGAATGAAACGCAAGAAACCAAGACTGAAGAGGTGAGGTATGAATTTGTTGTTGACAGAGTTCTAGGTGTACAAGTTTGAAAGATGATTGGGTTACTTTTGAATTGTTTTTAATCAAATTGGCTGGCCAATTTTTTTACTCCGATTACATCGGTATTTAATAATAGTTTAGTGTAATATTTTAACTCATTTTAGAGAGTCGCTAAGTAATATATTTCCGAAACTATTTATTTTAGTAATATTGGAAACGATTCAAAATAACTCATAAGTATGGCCTTGGTTAAAATGGCACCATAAAATTTGCAAATAAATATTTACTGTGATTATAATGCCTATTGAGATTTCTGGAATGAAGACTGAAGTTGAAAAATATATGTTATATCCGCTATGTATTTGTTATTGGTGATGTATTTAATATATTGTATCAGGACTCTGAGCGAAGTACGTAATGTGCAAAAAGGAGTGCCATAAGAGTTCAGGGATTGAAAAACCTCAGAAATTGGCTCAGATTGAAATATTTTTGAAGTCAGTCCACTAGGCAACGGTGACAAGCATCAATGTGTGACAAATCATTGGCAACGTCGTGCAACGTTGCACGTAATGTCACCATGATGTTGCTTGCCAATTGTTGCATTGTCTGTCACACAGCTTTAGTGTCCTCAAAACTAACTTACTGACTATTTTATATTGTCAGACAAAACTTATCAATTCAATCTACTTAATAACATAAATACCAATTTCTGAGCTATCATTTTATATCATACATCAGTTTTTGTAACCATGTTATATTGTATTGTACAAACGCAAAGTGCCTTAAAGTCGTAGGTGCCTTCAGAATAGCAGCCTGCATAGTGCCATAGGTCGGCAAATATCAAGGAAAATATTTAGGTACAAAATAGATGTATGGAGAGTCACAAAATATTATGCCAAACACTATTTTTATTCGACAGTGGAGACTATTTCATTGTATATAAATACGTAAATATATCTACATAAGCGACTGCCCACCGAAATAGTTGATCTGCTGTGAAGTCCGGTTTTTAGTTAGATCATTATTGAAAACTAAACCTAAAGTACAGGATTCTCTGAAGTCACACTAGAAAAATATACCCAGTATAAAACGAAAATTTATTCCATTACTAGCTGACCCCGCGAACTCTGTTCCGCCTTAAAGGCAATAAATAAGCCATCGCAATTTTTCCTTATTTGCTCACCGTTTAGACCTACCCTGGACTACGACAAACATTTTAAAACCAAAATCAGCTCAATCGGCCCAGCCGTTTTCGAGTTTTAATCAGACTAACGAACAGCAATTCATTTTTATTTATATAGATAGATAGATAGATAATGCAGGTATTTGTCATCATATCTTTACCCTATTTATAATGATCATAAACTATTTTTAACAATCGTAATGTATAACTAAAAACTGGACTGTAGATAAATAAAAATGAGAGATATGTTAAGAAAATCTCCACCGAGTATAGACTTGTCAGGCCAAAAAGAACGCTTTGTAAATACAGGCTTAAGAATTGAGTCCATTTGGCGTGTGTGTGGAGTCTTTTTTTCATTCCTTACGCGGGCCCAGATTTAAAATAATTTATAAACTGTATATCCAGAGTGTCATGTCATGATTTGCCACAGGTTTTTTCAAAGTAGAGTAGGTACGTGTATTCGAGGGACTATAAATATTGGAATTAAATTCATAAAAATCATCTTTTTTGGTTTCATCGTAAATGGGTTTTTATTGTCTTGCAAATCTAACGGAGATATGCGTTACTATAACTTTGAGAAAACCTGATCTGCATCAATGTTTTTTAATTAATATAAATCATGAATCAACCGTGTGAAGAGTATTTTTAATTGAATAACAGCGAAAAAAATACAGGGTGTAACTATTTTCGGTACCTGTCCTATGTCGATGACTTGTCTGTCTGGGTCCAAGATGTTTTGTGGATATTTTGAACGTAAACGCGGGCGCTTAAAACGTTTTGACGTGCAATATTGAATGTACTTGTCCTAGTTTTATTCCATAAAGTGTAGAGATCTGAACATGTACTTGGTTGATATCTCATCGTCATTTGTATGTTATATTTGAAATATCATTAGCTTTATCATAGGGCGAGACGAAAATCTACTACTATTATATTATTTTTATTGTCATCAGTAAAATACTATTTGATTTCAACTGGATTTCGTTCTCACCCTGTATGTTAGGTAGATTAAATTAACATAATTATTTTACTGTAAATTTTGTATGATATTTAATATTATTTTAGCGCATAATTCTCTTGTAAATAATCTGAAAATAATACTTCAACAATTTGCATATCTGTATTCTGATTTTGTTCATTTAATTATTAATTGTTAGCAATATTAGTTGATGTTAAGTATTTTTTATAACAGAACGATAGTCTCATAGTGAATTAGCTGTATAATGTTACATTTTTGTAAAAAATGTATATTTTATATAAACATTTATGTTTTATAAATATCTACTTTTGTAATTGTTATGAGGTTAATTTGGATTTGCCAAATTAATAATAAGCCTTGTTTTAATTCTTCCATTAAAAGAAAGGGAATATTATATTTCGTAAAGATGCCAATATTGACGATAGCAGGTTGATATAAATAAAAAATGAAAATAAAAATTATAAATTATATTCTTTTGTTTGATTTTTATATGCCTTTAATCATAGCTATTATCGAACTCATATAGAATGTGAAGAATACTTGACCAAACAATTTACAGATACCTACATATTTATGACTCTTTAGAACTAAAATTAGTGGAATTTCTTATAAATTATCACCAGCACAACTACCACACTATACGTTTTAATTTAAAAATTGCATCTACTTAGGTACTACAAATTCATAAAATGCCTCACAATTTATATACATTAGGAGAAACACCTTAGGTTTTAATAACTGGAAGAATCTCTACTCGCTTACTTTATTACACCTATATCTAGTTCAGTTCACCAATTCATGGTTTTTCTAATACTGTACTACATAATAATGTCCTCCAACACCCCGTATACATTATTAAAATAAAGTTCTGTCCACACCATAAAGTTGGTCACCCAAAGTAGCTAGACGTAAAAGATTTGCAGTCAAAAAAAATTCCAAAGAATTCTGTGTAAGTCACCTAGAAGTCATTTGGCTATTTCGTTATATTTCTCCGTCCAAAAGTGTGTGTAGGGTCGTAATGTTGAGCCACAGATCAAATTAATAAGCCAGCACACTTCATTTAAAACTCGAAGAGAGCATTTAATTCCTCTCTGGTTTTAACAATCACATACAGTCTTGTGGCAACATAATTATCGCCTCAGATTCTAATGCGATGTCGGTAAAACTACGAGGTAGAAAATATTGTTTTATGTGAGAATTACCCTGGTGCTTTAAGTTTTCCAGACGAGGTCATTTCTTTCGTAAGTACTACCATAAAAGAGGAGAATTATTATTGGATTTGTTTCAATTATTATTGGATGTCGGCCGTTTGGTGTAGTGGTTCGAAACGGACTACTATTCCGGCGGTTGCGGGTTCGATTCCCGCACAGTACAAACATTTGTGTGCATGAACATATTTGTTTGTATTGGACTGGGTGTTTTCTATGTATAATATGTATGTATTTACAAAAAAAAAGTATTTAAGTATGTTTATATCCGTCGTCTAGTACCCATAGTACAAGCTTTGCTTAGTTTGGGACTAGAGGCGCAGTGTAAAATGTCCAAGGATATTTATTATTATTTATTATTTGATGATTTTTTATTGTTCTTTAAAAAGGGTTACCTTACCTACTAAGATTTCATAAGATTTGTAAGATAGATACTATAGATATCTATTTTTTTTACTTTTGTGACAGAACTGACTAGTATTACTGCTTCGGGAGTCTCTTTCGGCGTGAAGTGATCTTACATCGATACCGAAAATTACAGGTGAGTTTATAATAATACCTGTCTGTTTTATTCATGCTGTGTGGCCAGTGATGGGTGTGCGTCGAGGCCCAATCCGCGGCACGCGAACCGCCAATCCTGCTATCAGTGCGCACGATCGCTTAGATTACCGCACTAGCTAAAGGCTGCTTGGACGATTATTGTGGGGGTTTATTACTTACGTTATAATATAGGTGTTCAATATGCAGATGAATCACGTCGTGTTTGAGAGCCTTATGCCCGTTTTCACCATCAATCCCTAATTTTTAAGTGACCATTATGGTAACACAACAGGAATTTTGTTTACATAGGTCACTTAAAAATTAGGAATTGATGGTGAAAACGAGAATTAAAACCGCGGAGAAGCATTTACATATTACATTTACTTACGCCCGTACCCGTATTCACAAATGATGCTTAAGTGAAGTAGCAAATCGAACGCACAGCGTTGAATAGAGCTCTGTGATTGGTTCGTGTGTAACTCTGTGCGTCCACGCGCATTGTAAGATCTCATAGTAAGTAATGTTTGTAAATACGGGCGTTAGTTATATTTCAAGAATTTGTGCTCATGTCACAGTCTTACTATAGTACAGTTTTGCATCAGAACCCGTTGGTTTAATATAAAAAAATATAATACCCACACGAAGTCACACTTGTGGATAAATCATGATGCTTTTAAAAATACTCCTCACGTTCTTGGATAAATGACAGTATTGGCAGTCTTTTGTTCTTGTTGACAATGTAACACCCATTGTGGGGGTTGGTTCGATTCAATCAAGTCGCAATTTATCTATCTTATTTGTAACCGACGGCCAAATGTTATTATTATCATTGTAGAATGCAGGAGCACCAGCTGAAAACCAGAGACAAAAAAAATAAAACCGACTTCAAATGCGTGAACACAAAAAAAATCTAAAAATTAAAAATATTGCGTATAAAAAAGTTCATCCCCAATTTTCCACCCTTGGGGGTGAAATATTTTCTTCAAATTCGCATGAAACCACCCTTATGATAATACCTATTCAACAAAAAAATAATCGTTCAAATTGATTTATAATCGGCGGAGATATTGCGTATAAAAAAGTTCATCCCCAATTTTCCACCCTTGGGGGTTGTTTTTTCTATTATTAAATTTAAATGGGACCACCCTTGAGGTATTATCTATACGCCGAAAAAAGATTTGTTCAAATCGGTTCATAATTGGCGGAGTTATCGCGTAACAAACATAGAAAAAAAGCATACGGGTCGAATTGAGAACCTCCTCCTTTTTTGAAGTCGGTTGAAAATGGAGGATTTGGCTTTCACCCCACACTGCACTGGCCAGACGGAATAAGGGGGCAGTATGCTACCTACCTACGCACTCATATTATACCTTTCTTTATGTTTCAACCGCACCGCGTGATCAAAGGCCAATGACAGGTCGCGCAAGTCCATCGCCATCAACAAATGAAGAAGAAGACAGGTCGCGCGACCCATGACAGTCCGCGCGACTTGGCCTATGATCGCGCCGGCGATGGCGAACTGCACGCGTTGGTATGGTTGAAGCTTTAGTAAAAATTCAACCAAATCAAAACAAATCTCATGCTCGCACCCTAAATTAGTATTCATGCTATAAGGTACTCGCACGCACGCGTCCGGCCGCACAGGATATGCTTAATAAAACCCAGATTGTAAACGTACGGTCAAGGAGCCAGGAATTTGTACTTTTTACTCCGTGGGGTGAAGCAAATTGGGAATTTTCGGGACTTCAGGAAGGAATTTGATGTGGAACCGAGATTTGGGATTCGAATTTTTGATTTGTAACGGATTTATGACTCGTTTGGTGCACGCGAGCGGGGAAGGGCGTTTGACTGTGACCGTTTTATTGACCATGTAATAAAATGGTTCTTTATATGAAATATAAACTGAACAAGTTATTACATTCTTTAGAACTAGTAGGTTAATCAGCACTAAGTTTTTATGTAGTTCATC